GCTGTTCCTGCACAGCCAACATGTCCTGAGAGCAACATGAAAGCAGAGCTGTGGGCACTCGCAGGGAGGCTGGAGTGGGGGCTCAAGGAGTCACGGTGGGTTGAGAAAGGGCAGGTACAGCCCCCTCCACACAGCTCCAGCTGGGCTTGGCCTGGTCCCGACTCAGAGAAGCTGGGGGGCCTCACCCGGACCCTCCCAAGGGAACGACTTCCTTCTCAGGCCCAACCGTGGAGTCCCTCACCCCGGCCATGCTCTGGCTCTGGCCTCAGCCCTCCAGCACCATCCAGGAGCCCTGCAGCCCCCCAGAGCCTGGGCCAGGAGGTCCACGCTACCCCATGAAGGGGGTCCACAGGGCAGAGTGGGGGGCTCCGACCCTCCCAGCCCAGCCACTTCCCAAGCCTGTCCATAGGAAGGAGTCGGTGTCAGCCTTCAGAGTTCATAGAGAACACACGTGCCCACACATCTGCACACACACACACACACACACCCATGCACACATTCACACACACACACATTCACACACCCAGGGCCCTGTCCCTCCCACGCCCCAGGCTCTGCTCTTGTCCTGCACCACCTGTAATGGTGGACTGACCCCACGGCCCAGCAGGGACCCCTCCTCAGGCTGGAGATACACATACATCCAGACATTCACACACCCATAGACACGTACAGACACACAGGAACACAGACACGCCCCCACACACACACCCACAGACACATACAGACACACACATGAACATAGGCATGCTCACACACACACCCATAGACACACATACAGACATGCTCACACAGATGCACACACTCACACGCACACAAGGACTTCCCAAGGACAAACAGTGAACGTCCCCTCTCCATTAGGGTTTCTCGACTAGGACCGGTTCAGCAGAATAAGGGCCCCCAAAATGTCCGTGTTCTAACCCTGGAACCTGTGAATTTGTCAGTTTCCATGATAGAAGGGGAATTAAGGTTGCAGATGAAATCAGCTAATAAAATAGGAAGGCCACCCCGGACGGAGGGGGTGGACCCAGTGCAATCACAGGCAGCCTGAGAAGCTGGAAAGGCTGGAGACAGACTCCCCTGGGGCCTCCAGACGAAGTAGCCCTGCGACACCTCTATCTTGGCCGAGCGTCTGTGAGACAGGAAACGTGGGCTGTTTGCAGCCATCCGTTCTGGGCGGTAAGGGAAGTACCACAGAGCCACGGTCTTCCCTGCGCTTGGGACCAGAACTGAGGACCTCGGCTCAGGACTCGGTTGCAAGGGAGGCGCCAGCGTAGGGCACAGGCCTGGCCCGCAGAGGGGGCCCTGCTGGTGCCCGAGACGCCACCCTGCCCCAGGCCTGGGCGCCTGTGCTCTGGGCGCCCCACTGTCCCTGAAGCCCCCGCATACCCTACACGGGAGGCACACTGCCCCAGGCTCCACCTGCGGAGCACAGGGAAAGAAGACTGTGCTGCTGCCCCTGGACCTACCACCCTTTGGGGGTGCACCCAGCCAAACAGACTGGAGACCCCCTAACTTTCCTGGGATTCCCCCAGGTCCCCAGCTATAGCCGGACAGGGCGAAGCCGCTCGTGACCCCCATCTCATTCCTGGGTCTGGAGGTGTGACTGGCCCCGACCCACCCCTTCTCCACAAACAACCTGTTCTTTTGGGCTGAGACCTGAGCTTCATGCCCACACTTACCCCCATTTCCCCAAAACCCATTGCCATGGGGTGGATTTCGACTCACAGCGACCCTATAGGACAGAGTAGAACTGCCACACAGGGTTTCCAGGGCTGTAAATCTTTACAGAAGCTGACTGCCACATTGTTCTCCTGAGGGTAGTTGGTGGGTTTGTACCACCAACCTTTTAGTTAGCAGATGAGCACTTAACCACTGCGCTCCCAGCGCTCCTTCCCACTCCCCCAGCCCCCTTGTGTTGCCGGCCTGGCAGCCTGAAGGTGAAATTCTGAGTGTCCCCTAATCCAGACACAATGGTGTCCTTCCCACCCCTCGAGGCTATAGGAGGGGTCACGGCAGGGCCCCTCCACTGTGGTCTGCACGTGGACACCCCAACGGTCGGGTTTTTCTCTTTATCCTGTTCGGCTGCAGGAGAGCTTGGCTAGAGGCCGTGGCCTGGGAGCCCAACTTTCTGTAACTGGCTGTACTGTTCTTTGAGGTGCCCTTTGGCAGGCACCCCACGGCCAGGGGCAGGGCAGAGCTGGAGCAAACAACTGGAAAGGGCTGGTTCTGGGGGCCAAGGCTGACCAGAAAGGCTGCAGTGCCCAGGTTGGGGTGGACAGGGAAGACTGCTCCAGCAGGGCGGCATCTCAGCCATGGGGTGCTCGTGGGGACCCTCAGAGCCGCGTGGCAGGAGGGGTCCTCAGAGCACAGATGGCCCATGGGGGGCACAGCCCAGGCCCGGCCAGGCCCCCTTGAGGGCTGCTGAGGGCCTCTGCCCAAAGTGGGCTTGTTTTAAAACCCAGCAGAGAATGGGGGCTGGGGAAAGCAGTGCTGCAGATGGCGGTTCCGGGGCGGTGGGGCAGGCCACCCAATCCAGGGAGGTGTCACAGGCATCCTGACCTACCCACCCTGCCAGGCAGGCAGGCAGGGTGGTACTGAGGCAGGCAGCCTCAGAGCCCAACACTTCTCAGAGACCCCTGCTCTGGCTTATCCTCCTACACCGAGCTGAATAAGCTGCACTTTCTTCTGCAATTATCCTTGACAAGACAACCACAGAACAGCCATAGTGGGCCTCAACAGGTCTTAGCAGGCTTTCCATGCTATCTCAACACTTCAAGTGACCTCCTAGCAAAATACATATGAGCACCATGCCAGAGAATCGAACCCTTGTCCAGAGAAAATACCTAATCATCCCCAAGCCCTGAGCGCCTGCATGAAGGTCAATCCTGAATATTCAAGATGAATTTGCATTTCCTTACCTGCTCTCTGTAAAAGCCCACCTCCGCAAGCTGCCTGCAAGCAGTCTTGGAGGCAGCAGCTCCAACTGCTCCTTTCCTTGCGCAACAAAATAAAGGCACCTTTCTTCTCTCCCACCTTGGCCTCTTGTTTATTGGCTGTAACAATCACGCCGAGCAGAACCTGGGGTTTTCACCTGGTAACAGTACCAGTGCCCTTAAATCAAGCTGCGGCCAAGACCTCCCGCCACAGTCAGGACACCAAGACTTCCCGCCAGGGTGTGGCCCATCCACGGCCAGCTTGGGCTCTAGGGCTCTGGCCAGGCAGGGGGCCTTTGGGAGCCAGTTGAGGGTGGGTGGGGTGGCAGGCAGGGTTACAGAGGCAGGGGTGCGGCATGGGGCAGGTTTCCTCCTCAGGGCAGGCTTTGCCTGGGGACTGCAATCATCCTGGGTGACAGGAGGTGGACAGAGGAAGTCACCCGGCCCAGGAGCTGGCAACCACGGTCGCCTCACAGGCCACCTCATGTTCCACCTGGGCCAGGTGAGGGTGACTGTCCTGCGCAGCCCAATGGCAGCTTGGCTCCCACGCGGGTCCCTGACTCATTTTGTCACCTAGTTTGTTCATGTGCACTTGGCCATAAGCCCAAACCATCTAAAAATGTAGAGATCAGTCACCTTCCTACCCCAGCCCCAGGCACTTCCCCTCCCAGCCTGCATCTCTGCTGCACGGGGGTGTCCATGCGGTACCATGCAACCCCACACCCCGCCCTCCCCACACCCAGCTCACAGCCCAGCCTCCCCGCCATCAGCTGTCCTGAGGGTTTCTGGCATGCGCTCCTGCAGACGGGTTGCAGTGTGTGTGTGGGCAGGTACTTTCTGCAGGTGACCCAGAGGTTGGATCCAGGCCAGCCAGGCAAACATCAGACGTGTGACAAGATGGTGCCAGCTTGCACAGACAGCCCGCCTGAGAGGCAGGAGTGGCACCGATGGGGTTCTGACCAGAACTTTGGAGCATCCGCCTTCTGCAGCTCGTCATCGGCATCTTCCTCAAATCCCGCCCCCCAGCACACACAGAGCAGCCCACAAAGTGTAAGCCTTTAAATACCTCAGGCATTATTTTAGTTCTCCAAAATAAACCTGCCTGAGTCACAAAACTACGGCTGGCAGACACTGTCGGGTTATAAAGCCCTTCACTGTGCATGGTAAATGCTAACTTGTCCACTGTCCTCGTCTCTCCCGCTGCTGTAACACAAATACCACAAGGGGTGGCTTTAAAAACAGAAATTTATTCTCTTATAGTTCAGGAGACTGAAAGTCCAAATTCAGGAGATCAAGTCTAGGGGAAGGCTAACGCACTCCACAACCAGTCTGACAAACTGGGCTTCTTTAACAAAGCCCCCAAGGACACTCACCCACACTGCCTGCATGTCATTTTGGTAAACCAGAGTCAGGTTATGGCAAGTTCACCATCTCAGCCAGCATCACCAGGGGGCCTGAGGGACGCAGGTTAGAGGACCCGAGGGGCAGGACCACCCCACAAGATCACCTCAAGCCCGTGTCCCCTCCAGAGGGCGGATGGTGGGGGGCCACACTTGTGACCGGTAGCTCCGGGGCCAAGTGGGGAGGAGCCGGGCTGGCCCGTTCCCAAGGGAGCCGCGTGCCCAGGATATGTGCGGAGGAGGGGCTCCATGCCCTGCGAAGGGAGGCGGTGTCCACGAGCCTCTCTGCACGGCCAACAGAGCGCTGCGTGAGGGACCCCAAAAAACCCTGCGCCTGTGCCTGCGCTCCTTCTGGCCTGGCAGGGCAATGCCGGCTCCATCAGACAGGGGGTTCTGCTCACCTGCTCCAGCCCTGCTGCCCCACCCAAGCGGGCAAAGAGCCCCGGGCCCCTCTCGATTCTCTCCCGGCCCAGCGAGCCGCCAGAGGGCACAGAATGAGGAGCACGGGCAGAGAGGGTGACTCGGTGCGCGCTCCCACTGGGAGGACCGGGATGCAGCACCAGAGCAGGTGTCTGGGTGAAACGGCAGGTCCCGCCCCCGGCCCCCAGGACTCCTGGGCCCCTCGCCCCAGACCCCCGGGCTGCCCTAGACCCCCAGCCCGGTGCCCTCACTGGGAGGGCAACGTCTTGTAGGGGTTCAGGATGCCCTTGGGGTCCAGCAGAGCCTTCAGCCCCCGCATAAGCTGCACAGCGGCCGGCGGCTTGCTGTAGCCGATGACATCCCGCTTGCGGAAGCCCAGGCCGTGCTCGGCGCTGACGCTGCCGCACTGCCTGGCAGTCCACTCGTACACGTAGGGCTCCAGAGCGCCCAGGAGCTGCGTGCTGAAGGCCTCCCCCGTCACATTCAGATGCAGGTTGCCGTCTCCTAAGGGCACACAGCCAACAGGTGGGTGGCTGGGGCAGACCCCAAGACCTCCGGCCAGCCCCAGGCCCCTCCTGTCCCCAGACCCCCATCTCTCCCAGGCCCCACCCTACCCCATACCATTCCCTGAGACCAGAGGTGTGGAGGGGGGTAAGGGGGCACTTGCCCCCAGGCACAAGTCCAAAGGGACACCAGATAACATGCAGAACGACATTCTGAGGGCCACAAACATGAAAGGTCTTGACTGAGGGGGGAAGCATTTCAGCTGCCACATCACCACTATCAACTATTCATCTTGAAATTGTGGGGGTGGGGCGCAACTTAGAGATTGTCCCTGGCCCCTTACTACGCCCCTGCCTGACCTCACCCACCCCCGCCAATGAGGGCATGGGGCAGAGACACAGCAGGGACCATGCTGACGGGTAAACAACAGACTCACTCTCCTGCCTCAGGCTCCCCATTCGAGACCTCCCCAGACACCAGATTCACCTGGCCAGGTTCATCGGCCACATAGGGACCCGGTCAGGTGTCCCAAAGCCCAGACAGAAGCCCTCAACGGACGAGGACACTCCACGCAAGAGGTAGGGGCTGGACCAGGAGAGGCTGGTTGAATCAGTGGGCCTGGGGGTCAAGGGTGGGACCTGCAACGCCTCCTGCTGAAGTGCCCAGAGCTGTCCAGAGGCAGTGAGCAAAGGTGGTGGACATCCAGGGATGGACGGACGCGGGTGTGCACAGCCCC